TGAAGGGGGGGGGGGGGGGGGGGGTGGAGGTTTATCTCAGCACACTGTTGCTCACCTTCAAGCATACTGAGAAGCAAGACCACCATCTCCTTTTGAAGGTTCAACAGTTCACGCAGCAGTTCCAGTTGGCTTGCATCCTGGGACAACTTTTTCTGTAAATGTGCAAACACATGAAGGAATCCTCCAATGGCGTCCCACAAGCGACTGTGAGCGAGGGCTAGCTGGTTCCCAGAGCACGGACCCTTTAACAATATTCAAAGGAAATAAGAAAAAGTTGGTAAAAAACTGCCAATAATAACAAAGTGGTTTTATTTTTTTTATTAAATTAAAAAAAATTGTAATCTGTCTTCTTAACTTCACTTAATGAAGCCAATATTGTCTACTGGCCTGTACCGTAGTGAAAATCTATCTACAGTCTCAACTGTTTACATATTTTGACATTTAGATGCATCACTTGTTATGTGTGACTGTTCAATATCCCACTAACTTACCTGTATGTACTCAGTGAGTGTTCTAAACACCTGTTTGGCAACTTTAATGGCTCGGGAGAAGTTCTCACGCCCCTTGGCAAAAAACAAATGATGAAGAAAATTCATATTATACAAGAGTCAAGATCTACTAAGTTTGGTTTATTATGAGTACAGTAAGTAATATTCAAAAAAAAAGTTTCATTGCATAGTTTGGACAGGATACATATTTGTACATTTTTTATGACTCTAGAATACATGATAGAAACATTGTTTTATGTCTCGTACCTGAACATCAACTACTTCTTTTCTTGAATAATGCCAGTAAAAATCACTGATGGATTCCTATATTTCAAAATCAAGATGAAACCAAACTTTATGGAATTGAATATTTTTAAAATATTAAGATTTATATATAAATATAATCATGATAAATCAAAGTTTCTGCCTAGTACCGAACATACTCTAAGTTGGAACTTCATCTGGGAAGCTCAAATATATAAAAAAAAAATTGATGATGTAATAAAGTAATGATCATATCAAGCACAGACCATCAATAAATGTTTATTATTACCTACGCAAAAGATTATGCGAAAACAAATGAATGGATCATCATCAAATTTAGTGGAAATTGTACATAATAATCAAAGAAAGACAAATTTCAATTTTCAAAAAAAAGGTCAACGAACAAAGTCGGAGAAATTTGATTATAACCCTCAAGAATAAAATATAATAATGAAATCACCCCTTGTACTCAACCAGCAAATAAAAAAAAAATGTTTAAAAAATAAAAAAATTTTCTTGAGGGTAGGCTGGAGCACTCAAGAAAATAAGGTGCCTGAATATGATGGGTGATTTCATTATTTAATTGAGGGTATGCTGCAGTCCTGCCTATTATTACACGGCCTGCGTATTGCTGGTACTGTATTCAGGCACAGCGTGGAGATGTACATTCTATGGCATGACTGTTCTGGTTTGTTTATTCATTCATTCACATATTTCCTAAATGAGCATTACGCTACCTGAAGTCGAAGTAGATAGTCCACAGTATAAATAATAATGTTGACAGTTGTATGGTTTCCCGTCTGTGTACGTAGATAGTTCTGGAAATCTGTGAAAAGATTTGATTTGATTTTATAATTTTTATTAACAATTTTATAAACTTAATATCATTCCCACAATACATCTCAAAGCTGTGACCCAGTAAACTGTTCTAAAATGCACCTTACAACACACTATGCAAATTAGCAGTAATCCAGGGAGTCTTTAAGTGATCAGATAATTACCAGGATAAACTAACATACGTTAAGTTTCTTATAACAAATAATAATTTTTAAAAATAAGATTTGTTATAGCGCTCATATTTATTTTAAAGAAATGCTCAAGGTTTTTTTTACTGAATTTGTCCATCCAGGTCCATGAATAACTGTGTTCCTCAATTTCAGTACATAGATTTTTTTGATATATCTTAGTTTAACTAGGTATAAGTACGGTATTCACATAAAAAACAAAAGTTTTCAATTTGTCACCCTAGAACGGAGTCACTCACCTATGACAATCTACATACTCGGCACAAAGTAGATTCAATCCAAAGAGCATCCTAAAATCTAGATGGCAACTTAACATTCTAACATGCACAGATGAAATCTTAGTGACTTAGTCATTCAGCGGCGGATCCAGAATTGTTCAAATGGACGGCACAACAGTTTCAGAATAGATAAGTGAGTAGCACATAACATTGATATACATTAATTTTTTTTTTAATGTTGTGTCCCCCTCCCCACTGGATCCACCCCTGTCATTACGTTCTAGGTGCTACAATTGTCATCCAATCTAAAGCTTCCTAATGATACTTACCGCCGTTGTGCCCTTCACAAAGAAGCTGAAGGAATCGAAACAAAGCACATGTGATGGGCGCATCGTGCAATGCTTGCTCTCCTAATGAATATACACAAACAAAAACAGATTTTGTTTAGTAAATCTTCATCTTGTACAAACTTTAAATTTCACACTAACCCACAACCATTGATAAAGAATAACGACATGATCTTGTTTTGCTTTACTACATTATGGCAAAATGTTGGGATCAGTATTTTCCTGCTCCATGAATCTTTGTTGAAATTAAAAAGCTTGGATATGTAAGAACACCAGTTCTTCATTGTGAGCAGGAATTCAATGATACAATTTTAAAGTTTGTTGGTTACTGCAATTCACAATAAATATAAATTTAGAAATCTAACTTAAATAGAGTAATATACAAGACAGTTAAGATGATATATGCTAAATGCAGTTATTTATCAGCATTTTGTTTAAGACATTTTAATGAATGAAACTTTTCTATATGTTATGACAATTGGCAGTATGACGACAATATGCTGCATGATTAAATACAGAAGAAGCATAAAAATAGAAAACTCAACATAACAAGAAAATATGATTATGATTAATCAATAACTATAACATTTTCTCTTCAATTCTAATTTTTTCAACTGGAGTTCGTATTTCTTTAAAGAAAAAGAAATATTAGAAAAATATGCATGAATATGACATTTAAATCTAGTGTCTTATATGACTTTCCTAAGTCAAACTTTTTATATAGATAAATAATAACTTCCTGAAGCGGATGCAGGATTTGGCAGTAGGGGGTGTGTGAGTTCACACAAAACAATGGTGGGGCTGAGGTGTGAAAATTTCGAGAATATGAAGCATTAGGTGCCCGAAAATTGCACTCTCATCATCCCTTAAAAATCTTACCGGTAATTCGTATCAACAATAAAATACAACAATTATTTTTCTTAATACAATTTAGAGGGGTGCGATCGCACCGTCGCACCCTAAACCCTACATCCACCCAAGACTTAAATCAAACATGACAAGGCTATGCTCAAATGAATGTACACAGAGCATGTTTTCTTAAGTAACATGGATATACAAAATCACAGACAGCTAAAGCAGCAATACTGTCAGAGAAGAAGAATATGAGCAATATGCAAATCAGAAACAAAATAGCAAGATACAAACAGAAATGTCAATAAGGCAAAAAAAAAAGGTTGTGTTGCCCAAGTCCAACTGACTAAAAAATCTAAAAAAATAGGCTCGGCTTTTTTTTCAAAACATTTGAGGCTTGCAATCCCTAAACCAGTGTATTGTCGCTTAAAATTAAACTAATTAGCATAAGAATGTGGTAGCATTGTAAACTGCAGCACAGAGATGCCACAATACTTTTGCTTCATGGCAATAGTAAATCGATTCCACTAAAAATGACCCATTATTTAAAAGCTAATAATATTAAATATGGAGAATGTGGATAAATTGTTTTGGTGACTGATGCCTGTTTTGGCATGGTAAGCCTAGAATGTTTTAAAAGGAACCTTTTCAAGCTTTAATACTTTTCATACCTTAACCATAGATTTTAGGTCTGTTACCAACCAAAATGTGAGCTATGATTGACAATGAACCCAAAAACCATGGCCTAGGCCTATACTGAACAAAAAAGCAAAACAAAAATATTGTCGACTCTGATTCTGAATTTTTAATATCGCTGAACTTTGGCAACACAAACATTTTCTATGGCATATTGTGCAGAAAGAAGCTACTTAATTTACTTATAAAAATAATTGTTAACATGGTGATACAATAGTTACCATGGCAATCACATGGTTACAAAATTGTTGCCATAGTAAATAACAGGTTGCCAGTAGCAGAGCAGTGACTGTTATTAGTAATGCAGCAGCCGCAACAGCACACCATTGGTAGTCATGGACACATATTTGCTGCCATATTATTTTGTCAGTTACTATGGCAAAAATATTTGCATGACGATGGCTGGCATAGCAATGGTAATGTAGGAGAATAAGACATCTCTGAAAGACAGTTGAAAATGAAGCAAGAAACCATTTTCATCAACTTTTATTGATACAGGGTATACAAGAACAGTGAAGATGAAATTCTATGTGGATTTTAGTGAAGAGTATTATCTACCGAGATAAGAAATTTGTCCTCTGAAATCCAAATTGAAAAAGGACATAAAGCAAAAGCAAAACAAGTATTATCAAAAAGTATAGAATAGCAAGAGGTCGGAATCCTATCTTGAAATGTACTACTACGAAGTAGAGGGCGTCCTTCAAAAGAAAGTATGTGATCAATACGTTGTTTGTAATAAACGCACAGTGCGTGTAGCGACAGAATATCAGAATTTTGAACTCTATTCAAATTCTATAGGGCGCCCCCATCTCTTGCGGCAGTACTGCATTTTTCGTTTTATTGCTTGCATGCAATATCAAGATAGCCAGACCTCTTGTCATTCTATTCCCTTTGGTATTATCCAAAAATATATGAAAGCATGCAAACTGAGAAAGTACAGTATATTCCATGCAAATTATCTTTCTCAGATATATCAAAGTGAAAGCTTGCCTGCACGGTCTGAGATGATGTTAGAGAAGCATTGCAGTTTGACAAGGTAAACCATGGATAAACCAAAGTTTAACTTGAAAGTGGGTTTTTTTTATATAATGAAAAGAGAGAAATCAAAACAAATTCCAACTTTAGATTTATACTGGATTTTATTGGAAATTTGAAATGCAAAAATACATACTAAAAACATTTTAAAATGCAATTATATTTAATAAATTAAATCACTTAATTAATGAATAATTAATCAGTATGAAATTGAGGGAAAATGTGTTTGTTGAACTATTTTTTTTATTGTAATTATCATAAATTGGAAGTCATTTAAGTCATGTATCTTTCTTTTCATCATTGTTAACCTCAGTCAACCTTTCATTTTAACTCCTACCTGCAATAGCACCATTTTCATCTGTTTTTAAGGAGAAAAATAAAAACAAAATCATGCTGGTTTCACAATTTCATGCCCCACAAAACACCTTGGAAACACTAGTTTATCAAATTCCACAAATTTGCATATCATCTGCATATATTTAGATTGCTATGCATATTCACGATTACTACTAACTTATGAATAACTCATGAGTTAGTTGTAATAAGTATTTAAAGTAACTGATCTGCAGTTAAATATGTGCTTGAGAAGCAATTGCACCAAAAGAAAAATATTTGTAAAAATGTAAAACTTGATTGTTGTTTTTTTTCCCCAATATCTGCATAAATCTTTTTGTATATTTATATTAGAATAATTTTCATCATAAGGGAGGCATGATAATAATAAATAGTTGTATTACATTAGAATGTCAATCAACAACAATCATGTTTCTACCTTATCCCATAAAATCAATCAAACAAAAACATAACCCAAAATAAAAAATCTACAATACAAAAATTTCAAGACTACCTTTGCAAACTATTTCCACACAACAAAAAATTATAAATTGACAAACAAAAACAAAGAAAATGGAGAACTATTATGAGTAACCAAATCTGAATCACTAAATTTACTAACAAAACAAACTTTGATGAGCCAACTATAATATGGAAACACAACTACGGTCATAAGGAGATTTTTTATCATTAGATTAAATATGAAGACTTCAATAATTCTTTAATAAAATAAATTGAAGACTAAAAATTCAAGTATATCATATAATTAAAAATAATAGAACGCTGCTATTTAAATTCTTACCTGCACTATCTCCAAATCCACCACCTAAGCCTTTGGCCTTGTTGTAACGTTCATAGGCTTCTAGATCCAGAACACTAAAGACAGGAAAAAGCCATAATAATCATATAATACAAGATGCTTGCTTTAAAAGCACTAGGATTTCAGGTTTATATTTTTGAAAATGACCAGGATGGTATAAATACAACTAAAAAAATGCACTCATAAACCTCATAGTTTGGCTGTTTAAAAGCATTACAGAATGGACAATTTTCCAGACTGTCAACCTTTACAACTGAACAATGCCAGGAATATGCAATCAGTCCCTAACCCACAAATGCTTGTGTTTACTACGTTTACGCTGTCATGTTGCGGGACATTTGCAACAATATAAAAGAAGCGAAGCTTTTCAGAGGGTTCCAATTGTTTCATCAAGTTGTAAGTCACGGATTGTTGGATGAGGGTGAAATGAAAATTGTAGGAAATTCCTATATACCTGGAAGATTCCATGATTCCCGCTAAACTTGTAAAGAATCCAACATCCATTTTGTCCTGTAAGTGGGCTAGCATTTTCTAAAGAACAAAAAACATCAGACAATAATTTTATTATATGTCAATGTAATAACATATAATATTAAAATAGTGAAAAGGGAATTTTTAAAACCTAGTTGATTCAAAACTGACTTGAAGTTTGAAACAGAAGTAGAAAGAAGGTGGTTTATTCGAGAAAAGGGAAACAGTAAATATAAAAGTAGGTTAGTCTTATTTTGTGTTTTATAATAGGGACAGACAAAATGAAATATTACCTTTATACATGTTTATATATATTACACAATCTGAATTAGCAAGAACATTTAGCAGGGCAGTTAAAGTTTACATCTGCAGTGTGCGCTTTATATAACTTTTATTGATGTACAACTAATTAGAAGGAAGATTTTACCTCCTGAACAGTTACATTTCCTCCACGCAAGAGAGAGATACCAAGATTTAAAGTGTCTTTTACCATCGAGGAAGCCTTTCCTAAATAAACAACAAAGAATATGGAAATGATTGGTAGTAATGTAACTCAATCTTCATTAATATGTAAATGTTGACACAAACTGTTTAAATACGTGACTTAAATAAGTAAGATTATGAGATCCAATATCTTGTGCAAGGCACTTCAGATATATGTCTATCTTCACACAGTATTACAAATCATACTGTAAGATACTTAGTTGAATATGCCAATGTCAAGTTTTTTTTTAGTGGAACTTACCTGTCAAAAATAATAGAATCACCCAATTCACTTGATAAATACTGCCTCATTTTCTTTTCACTCATGAGTGAGACACCAAGATGCAGTTGGTACATAGATGCACTTTACCAGCAACAGAGTGGATTATTTATCAGTTTACTCGGGCATTAACATAATAGACAAACTGAATACATACACAACCAAAATTCATGCGCAACTACACTTAAAGGGAATGAAGCAATTTAATACAGATTCTGTTTCAAATGGCTAGTGTAACAAAAGTGCATTGAAACCTCGCATTTATATAACTGATTATAGAAATGGCATCATGATAAGCACTTGTATTATGATTAAATCATCGTCTTTGTCATCACTATTATTATTTGTACCTTGACTGGCACTGATATTTAGCAAGACCATCTCAGACACTTGTCTGTCGGCCAGTCGGCCCTGTTCAGACAACAGCTTCTGTTTCGCCATTTCTTGTTCCTAGGTATTCAAACAACAATCATGAAAATAATTATAAAGAATATTTAGAATAATAATGATAAGAAAATAAATCAGTTCAATATAAAAAATATAATAGCAGCAAGAGCAATTATTAATACAAATTAAAACATAACCAAAATAACAAAAACCATAGGATGTAATGAATGAAAATAATATAATAATTAAAATCAAAGAAGGAATGTAGATGTCATTTGAAGGTTAAAATGTATTTGACATTATCTTCCAGACTTTGCCTGATAGATGTGACACTTACCTGAAAGGAGACTCCTGGTTCCTCGTCATCATCATCATCATCCTCATCATCGCCACTGCAACTCTACAAGAACATACACACAGTGTTACATCAAAGTGTTTACTCTGAAGGTTATATGTGCCTAGGCCCAACTATTATATACTGCCACTATATGCAAATTTATGCAAATTATGGTTCATAGTAATTATACCAAAATAAGTTTAAATACCTTGCTCATTATCTCAGCATAAGACAAGTAGAGATCATCTTCTACAGCGCTATAAATGCAAATATACAATAAATGATTTACATAAATTGATATATATTAAAAGGCAATGAATGCAAATTATGGTTGAAAGGGCAGACACCCACAGTATAAGCTTTATTCAAAAGCTTACAAAATGGTGAGAAAACATAAGATAATGTGCTGAGAAGACTGGCACCTACACTATATGCCTTATTTTGAGGCTTAGGGATTAGTGCTGATTTCAACTTTTAGAACAATCTTATCATTTGTATGGATTGTACACGCAAGTCTTCACTACAACTGCAACATACTTTTGGTGTAGACTAGCAGCCCGGCAGAACATCATAACTAATTGCTGTAGAGGATCTTTGATTTCTTCTTCAGGCAGCTCCTCCAGATCTTCTTTCTGCAGAGAACAATTTAACAAATTGACAGTTAGCATACAATAAGCACATCTTAAGAATGACCCATGAAAACAGCGCTGTGTCTGTGCAACATAGTTGCTTAAAATCCAGAATAAAGCCTGCAGCACAAATATAGGTCACAGGAATAGATGCTAGTCTACTGCAGCAGCTGACATCTTGAGACCAAACAGTAGCATACAATCAAGCATTATTAAATAAGTACATCAATCTCATTCTTACATAGCAGTCTTTCCATTATACCTTACAGAATCAAGAGTGGAGTACTTTGCTGTTGCTGGCATTTTGAGGCCAAACAGTGGCATGGAGCCATGTTTTAAACCAAATAGTTCAATTTTATGTTCACATAGCAGTCTTTATATTACACCTTACAACATAATTATATTAATACTTAGTTAAATACAAATGAATACAATCATATACATACCGTGATATCATCAATCAGCAAATGTCTTGCAGATTCTTCAACTCCCAGCCATTTTTCTTTGTAGATTCTCAGGAAAAAGTTGATGGCACGATGCCTACATATATAAAATGATATTTTATCAAATATATAATTAAGAAAAGAAAATAAAATATCCATCCTCCAATTGTTTGCATTAAATTAGGCCTGTTATTATCCTTTAGGTAGCTATATATTGCAGGTCCATAACCCATGCAACGTTAGCTGCATTAAGCAAAAGAGATGATCTTTGATATACCTTGGAAGAGCACGTAGAGGTATCATCCTGAAGCAGGCCATGATGGCACGGCGTCTCTGAGCAGAGATCAGACGACGCCATGCACTTTTCTTTGATACCGGAGGATGTTCAGTCTGTGGAACAGAAGCAACAAATTTAATAAAGAAGTGAATAGGAGTAATTTAATAATGATGTCCGACTGCTTAACCAGCATCACCACGACGAGCAATATCATCATCACCGACTCCGCTCCCTGCGAGCGCTAGATGACACGATGCTCTATGCTGCTTGTTGGTGGCTCGTCATTATTGTGTTTTCAATAGAATCGCATTGCATGACAACCGTCAGATGCAGTAAGTGCCCGGCTTAGCACCCCACCATACAATTATCATAAAAATTACCTCCATCCCATTCCAAATATGATGAACATCATAACCATCTAAACCTAATACCATCATCCGAAATTTCAGGCATTATTACTAAGAGCTTACTTTGGGCTATATAAGAATAACTATTATTAATAATATTATTATTACAACCACCATCAAATAGCATTATTATCATACAAGGTTACGGTAACTGACATACATTCACAAAAGCCGATGCACTTACGATGTGAAGTCTGTGTAAAACGATAGCCATACTGAGTACCCTCTGAACAACCTCTTCCTGAGGAAGACTGACATTGGACAAGTTACTAGAGGACATCTTGGAATACAGACGCCGCTGCCAACTGGACACCTGGGGACCCTGCTGTACAAAGAGTTAAAAACATTCTACTTGAAGTAAAAAAATTTACTGTATAGGATTATATGATTTCTACTTGCAAGTAGTCACTGCACATGCAATTTTCGAGGAAATTGGTCTGTATTTATTTTCCTTTCTCTAATGTGCATAAATACTTTGATGCACACAGAAAAATGACAAAAGAATAATTAACTAATATATGCGAACTCCATAGTTGAAACACAAAGACAGCAGTGCTCTTAGGCCACTTTCAGACAGACAGGGCTGGCAATGTTGGAGTAATGATGCCGGTATATGGGCATGCCCCTTTTCTACCAAACATAGTGGTAAAATTGCTGTGATATAGCGCATTTATAATGCCATAATAAAATGCCTATTATTCTCCGTGTTTTTGCAAATATGTTATTCCTGATGATGATTCAATGAAGTCAAAATGTTGAGTAAATATGGCCTCACTTTCTCTATTTGGAGTCACTTTTGTTTTATTTTATAATGCCTTTCTGTATGAATGGATTATGTACACTGGCAAGCCAGTGGTAATGTTGTTTGTACAAAAAATGCAAGTAGGCCTTTTACAATATTGCTCAGACTAGTATAGACTTATAATATCGAGGGCAATACCGGGAAGATTTCCGCAATGCTGCGGTAATGTAGCTCTGTCTGGAAGTGGCTTTATTTTACCAGGTACCGTACCACAATTCTATTAACAATATATTTATTAGTGGGTGGGTAAATAATGAAGGAAAGAATAGAGAAAAAGAAGAGGGAGAATGATAATACAATGATATGAAGGCAGTGAACATGCTCTTACAATACATTGAGTTGTTATGACATAAGATTACATATCTAAACATAACAACATCTACAAGGTTAGAAGAAACAAATGATAAAAAAATAGTTGTCAAGCCACCAAGATGGGTTTGAAATAAATGAAGGTTGGAAGTTAATTGTCTGAAACAATGATATAAGATAACTTTCAACCTCGGCTCCTTTCAAAACTATTTTCAAAGACGTATTGCCCCATGAAAAATAGCAAAAAAATATAAAAATCATTTTTGAAATTAACTTGCTCACGTTGAAGCAAGGGCTTAGCCTGCGAGACGTCTGGCCAACAATTATTTATGACGGCCACTTTTACCATGACAGCTTGGCTTACTCAGCTCGGCCTAACCTAGTTAGGCCCGGCCTACCTTTAGTAAATACCGCCCACCCACCCCCGCTTGGGGCTACACCCCTCGGCTGTCAGTACGCGACAAGTGATCGTCTTCCATTTTGAATGTCCTATTCCTTTTTTTCTGGCTAAACCCCTGCTTTGAAGTAACATAAAAATTATGAACTTAAAAATAGAAATGTTTACCTATAATTTTAGAGTGACAAAAAAACATTTTTTATTATTATACACTGAGTATAAAATTCAGGGTACTAATAATTTGTATACTACCCTAATGTCAGCAAGCTAATTCACAATTTTTGTTGATGATTTTCAAGGGACAATACGTGTTTGATGGATAATTATTTGTTAATTCAGTTTTATTGAAACACTAAATGGAAAACAATGACAAAGAAAAGAAGAAAGAATGAAGCACGGAAGAATGAAACTTGCATGAGAAGGTGAATGAGAGGAAGTGGATGAAGAGTTTCTACAGGGTTCTAAATCTGACGAATCCTCGTCATCATCAACCTTTTTCTCCTGCTGACGCAGAGTGTGGAGTAAGAATTCACGAACATCTTTCTCTGTATCCCGCTGCAAGAAAGAAGGAATTTCACATGGTCAATCAATGTAATATCTAAAAATTTCTATGATAAATTAATATTTGATACAAATATATCGTGTATGCAGAGGCAAAATAACACCATTCCCATTGACATCTTGCTTAGCACTCTGGAATGAAACTTTCTGAGGTGTCACTCAAACTTAACAACTGACCAATCAAAACAGGGTATGACCTTAGCAACAATATCTAAGGGGCAGGGCTTAGCAGAAAGTCCATTGCTATAAAATAACTCTATAGTAACGCCACACATGAAACCATTCTACTCTTTGGTTTAAACCAGTAAACTACCAACTAAATATAGAGGGCAGCAGACTATATACTGTACCTCCAGTAGTTTCTGTTTGGCTTCCTGGACCAACTCTTGCTCCATTGCTCCGTAGAGATTCATTCCAATTGGTAGGAGACGTTTAATGCATGCAACAATTCTGCTAGATGAGTAGCTCTTGTTATCACGATCTCGTCCTGCATTACTTTGTGGCTCATTTTGAGCGATGTAATTTTGCTCTTCTCGTTTGAAATTCTGAGAAAGAAAAAGAAGCTTAGAACATGTCTAATGTAAACTTTTTCCTTACTTATTAATTTTCATCAGAAAGTTAATGAGTAAGAAAAGCTAAATATTTAGAAAGCTAAATATTAAATTTTTTTTGTTTTGTTCCACTACTTACTGATGACTGGGCCCACCAGTTGAAGATGTCAGCAACATGTTTATAAAGCATCTCAGCACACACACTTGAAGACTGAAGCCATTTTGATCTATAAATACAATAAAAAAAATAATCCACCAAAATTAGAACTACATTCATACTCTGGTAACAACGGTATACTAAAATATATACATACGTTTGACTAGACACTGAGAAAAATTAAGACTGGTAGCAAGAAAACTAGGTCTGGGTGATGAAAATATTAGGAGGAAAACTATGAGAGTCTGGTGATTAAAGATTAAGATTTTTTGGAAAAAGGTAAGCAGGACAATCTGGTGATGACAAGTCTTCACTTAAATCCGAAGTGCACATTTGGCCAAATAATTAGCCAACATAAAGAGTGATTCACAATACAGCAAACCAGTCACCACATAATACCATAGTTAATTTGCATTCAAAGTTGCCCAGTTTGTCTTATGTACAACAGTAGAATAACCTACAGGCTTTATAGGCACTAACCTGTGATGGTCAACAAACTTGATCAGAAGCGGATAGAATGCAAAAACATCTCTCACCAACAAACCATAATGCTACAGAATCAAAAAATAGGTTTAAACAATTCTCTAGTAATTATAACTCTATGTGTTTAAGTGATAATGAAAAAATGTAATATATTTTTCACAAAACTTCATTCCATCATGTTCTTACTTTTGAATGTAAAAATAATAATATAATATTAAAAACCTTTTCTAATCAAGAATAGAAAACTTTTACACAATGATTACAGTAGACACAGAATTCAACTTTTTTATTTCACAAATTTACCTCAAGCAGTTCAAGCTCAGCTTCTTCCATCTCTGTCCCACCTCCTGGGAAGTTTTTCTTAAGATCCTCCTCGCTCTGGAATACTATCTCGGCTCGTCTGCGTAGCACCTCCGCCACCGGTAGAAAGTGTGAACTTAGCATGCTCTCATCAGCATTACTCAAGATGGGTAGCGAAATGGCTGGAGAAAAATTACAAAAAAAATTGTTATTAAAGTGGGGAATGAGCTGAATATAAATCTCCTATCAGTATTTTATAGCATAGCTTTGCAATGTAAGTTCTTCCGAATTCTACCCACCTGCTATCCTGCTCATCCAAGGTGCATTTTCTGAGCCTAGATTGTTCTTGATGAGGGTCAGCACATTTCCTAGTGTGGTGTTCATGTTTCTAGAACTCACCATCGTCCAATAATTACTAAAAAAAAATAACAATAATGGATTCCCGATGAATGATTGGAAACTCTTAGTCACAACAAAATTTTAATAATAATGGTTGATTGTGGAGACCACTGCATAATGAACAATAAAATATATAGTGTGAATGAGAATCCTGTGGTGATCCAATTTGACTTCTGTGGTCAACACAGGATCATGTGATCAAATAGGATCTTGTAATCAACTTGGAATCATGAGGAAGCCGTGTGAGCATGTGATCCGTTTGTGATCAATTTGAATTCTGTAATTTTGGATCAGATCCTGACTTATTGCTAGTTTTGTGATCAATGTGTGGTCACGTAATAAACTTGTGATCATATAAGCAACACTTGCGATTAACTTAAGAACCTGTGATCAATTTAAGATTTAGTGATCAACGATTCAAATGCCTTTCATTGTCAAGGCCAAGAGCTTCCATTTTATATACTGTCCACCTACCCCTGTCTTCTGTTGATGCTGTCAGGGCCCTCTTGCCACCAGAATGGTAGGTAGCTTTATAAAATAATAAACAAAAACATTATTTGACAAATTATAACAAATAAACTCATGAACAAAATGAAATTTTGATAAATCAATCATGGATAGATGATGAAAGACATGAGGAAGGGGTTAGGCTATAGGAGATGAGGCTAGGAAAGGGTTAGGGCAATGGGATACTCACCTGCACAAGGTGGGTAATATCACCTCAATCACATGTGGTGCCTCATAGTATTTAGCTCCGGATTCTGCCATCTCATCAATTTCCCGGATCATGGCTTCCAGTGTTGGAATGCCATATGAAGAACTGTTGATACCTTCTGAAATAAAAATTACATAGGAAAAGTTACCAAAATGGTTATAGTATACTATACAACACTTTCATCCTTCTATGTCAATAAACATCCAATGAAATCAATCAATATAATTGGCTGTAATACAAGATCATCTCTGTGATGAGTCTGGTCGGCTGCACACCGATAATAGATACGACTTGATTGAAAGTTATCTCCAGTAGAAGGTAACAGGCTGGTCACGGCAACAGTGAAACAAAGCAAGTTTGATCAGTGAAACAATAAGAGTCAATCAAAACACCAATTCAAGCTGAATATAAATGTTTATTTGTGCTAACATGGCCACACCACAGCTTGGGTCACGCTACCTCCCTTCAAGACTCCTCGCTCGTCTAGTCTAGTCCACCAGCCCATGAGACTGTTCTTGCGGGAACATCTTATAACAGTGAACAGTATGTAACAAAGTTGAAAGGTTACATTTTTACCTAATTCCGCTTCACCTTTTGCAATAGCTCTCATTGCTTGCTGTCCTAATACTGAATTCCGGTTGTTTTTGTTCAGCTGAGGCTCTAGGAACGCCACCGGGAACGAACCGGCAATTGCTGCCAACAGTTCTCCAATAGCAGGCCGATGACTGTTAGAACAAAACAATAAAAATTAGAAAATATATAAATATTATTTTAGGTTAAAATCTAAGAATAGTATTAAAATGGACAAAATACTTTCTGGCTTTATTCTTGAGGTAGGCTCTAACAAAGCAAATTACACCGGAGCAGGTATCATAGGCTGCACTACAATAGTGAGGATGAATTGAACTTTGTTCAATTGGGGTGACATTTGTTAATTTGAAAATTCTAAACCAATCTATACTGATTGGTTGAACAACAACCACTTATTGATGATGCACAAAACAGACACAAAACCTAGAAAACCTATACTAAATAAGTGCTACAAATGGAACAGGAAAAAAGACTATGGTAGACTACAAGCACAGGTTTCTATCAACTATGACTATCAAAGAAGTGTCATACCATGTACCTAGATGACAACAGAAAGTTTTTATATATCGATGACATTGGTTGGTCTTATATAGCAAATACTGGCAATGTATATATTAGTTTCAAATTACACCCAGGTCATAAAACATACATGGAACACAATCAGCTTGACAGAATGTATTCAATCAAGTATAGCTACATATCAATGTGCTGGTTGCTACAAAGATTACAAATATGTACCCATTAAGCACATATTCAGAAGTTAAAACACCTTATATTTACCACAGAATTATTATCATTTTTAAGCAACTAGATCGATCCAGTGGTCAGCATCAAAATATTATCCACAAGAAATATGTAATTTTATTTAAAATAGTCTAATCTCACACCTAAACAAGCAATCTAATCTATTTTCACTATTGTAAGCAGCACAGTATGTACTATCTTTACTAAAGTGCAAGATTTCACGGTCACTATCTGGACATTTTTAATAATAATAGTGGATTTATATTTTAGCAATATATTTGGTAATTTTCACAAGACTGGAGTACCTCTTGTACCTCCCATTAACTCAAGGTTTCTTCTATATCATTCACTAACCCAATGGTTTCTTAGTTTACCTTTCATCAACCCAAAGTTGGTTTCCCAAAATTGCAGCGTTATTAGTATAGAATAAAATCTTTTTCTAGTAAAGCTAAAACAAAAGTATGTTCAAAGGTGCTTTGCTTGCTTACCAAAAGGATGGACATTCTTTTCATTTATCTTAAATTAACCTATGGATATCATTCTTTAAACCAAATATTCTTTGGTTAATATCACTCTATTATAAGCTATCAGATCATAAAATATTAACACTGACTTGCCAACAGAAGCATGTGGACTCATTATAGATGTAATCTTTTGAGGAAATATGGAGCCCAGTAAGAAGTTGTCTGATATCATTAGGCCGACCAGCCCTCCATAAACTAACGTTAGAATACCGCACTTTCGGCGGTAAAGAACAATTAAAACCTCATAAAAAAGGCAACTAATCATTTTACCTATAATTTAATCCAAGGACACCAGTGTTAAACACTCAGTACTTATCCTTGATAATGTGTTAATCCAATTTATATAGTGAGATAATGTAACGTTAGTTTATCGAGGGCGGGTTGAGCTAATGTTCTTCAGCTATTTCTATGTCTTAGGCAGACACATGAGGTAGAGGATGGAATGGGGCAAAAGTAAGAGTTTATTAGACACACCTACCTGAAATGTAGCAAATTAAAAAGGTAAACTAAACTTGGAAGCAGAATGAATAAAACACACTTGGGTATGAAAAGCCACTCAATTATTAGACACTCTCAGGAAAAACAAATGTGATCAGGTTACAAACAACAGATCACAAACATGTTTGGGAAGTTTCAAAATTCTAAAATAAAACTGTAAGAGAACATGGCAACCATAAGCATGTTCTCATTAACTATAATAATCACATCAATCCTGTTGCCAGAAAGTTATAAAATGTATGCCTAACCACAACACACATCTTCAGGCAGTTAAATGTAAAGCTAGACTATGCAATATTATTCTATAGGTTATGGGGAAAATCTAAGCTGCCTTACACTTGGCTGCAAACCTCTACTTGATATTACTATACCTTTCTATGCACTTTTTCTCCTTCTCACTGTAAAAAGAAATTTTGCAAAAAATACCAACTAATGTAACTGAAATCACTGTTATTTGTAACTTTGTTTACTAACAAAAACTATCAGCTTTTCATGTTGGTCTTACATAAATAATAATTGAAGGCTACTATACAGTTTAATATAATTGCACACGTCATTGGATGGAAGACAAACTCAGCTCCCGGGGGAAAATTCCATAATGGTGCACTACCAAGAAACTGGCATTTTAATTTACCAAGTTCCTCATTACTGGATATAAAGAGATAATATGCCATACACTAGGACACAAGCAAGTGGCCTGATGCAGACTCAACCCCCAACCATGTACTTGGAAGTTAAAAACTTCACCATCGTGCCATAATGCTTCCAGAATTCAGAATCTCTTTACTGTATAATCAATCAGATATTGATGTCTACTGTATATAGTTGATTAATTAATTAAAAATTATAATGAATATAAAAATATGAAAACGCAACTGACCAGTCAGCAGAGAACTGCTTAGCTGCTCCTAGAGCAAACAAAGTCTTGATGATTTTGTAGCAAGCAAGCTGTACTTGATCAACTGAAAGCAAATTAACCAATCAAAAGTAAGATGTGTGGAGTAGGACACAGAATATAAAAATGAGCTTTTAGTGGAGATACACCTACCTGGAATATAGTGAATTTATTAGAAGTAACTGAAAGCAGAATGAGTATGCAAACTTCATGTTGCTATTTTTATCACAGAATCATACTGTATCTGTGATTTAAATTTGATATAATTTTAAAATTGGAAATCAAATTGAACTTATCACCAATAGTATAACATTAATACAACGTACATTTATAATTGGGAAAGATATAATGTACTACCCTTTACTTTATATTATCTTGACTAAATTAATTTCACAGAATTTTATAATACATACGCAGTAGCTCTTCCCCGAATTTGAAATTGCCAACGTGTTTGAAGAGGCTAGTAAGCACCGGTAGAAGTACACCAGCCACATACTTCATGATCAACCCCTCCTTGAAGTCTGGTGGCTTGACGTGACTGAAGTAGCCGGACTTCACGTTAACTTGGGTGCAATCCAGGTCGTCTGCAGCATTGCAGAAGAAAACTAGGAGGGCGTTCTTCACAGAGCCTGAACCATGTTTGGTAATGGACCTAATATTGTCAAATATAGCAAATGCAAATCAGACTTTTGAATTGCATATCCTCATATATATAAATTCATTTGTCAGTTCTGATATAGTGCACAACATGAAGGAATCTAAAAACAACTAATGGCTCTGCCAGAATTTACCCTGGTGCCTAGAAAAACTGGGGAACTTTCAAGGCATTTTAAGCTGTTCTCACAGCATGTATTTTATCCAAATATTAAAAAAGAAAATCCCCTTTTGAATGAGTTGCGGCCTATATGAGCTTGGCCTCTCTGATGGGGGCTCCCCCTGCCCCTCAACTAGCGCCACTACTTATGACAATATTGCCTTTGGAAGTTATATTATTGGAGTTTGATTTGCCTAATAGAAGCTGGACATATCATAACAATAAAAAAATGTGTAATTTACCTCCCATCAATTGCTGTTGCTACGACCTCTAAACAGCACACCGTACAGTTAAGGTCTTGGGCTAAAAAAAGTGTTAAATGTTAAATACCTCATCCATTAAAGTACAGATGGATGGATGGATGCTTGCTTGGATACATAGACAGACATATAGATATAGAACTTATAGACAAACATATAGATATAAAACTTACATAGACAAACATATAGATATAGAACTTACATAGACAAACATATAGATATAGAACTTTTCAGTACCAAAGTAACCTGGCATTTCATGAACTAGCTTCATAAATTAAAATACAACATTTTGTCTTTATTGAATTGTATAATACAAAAAAGTTTACCTTGAAAAAGGTTTATCTTCTGGCGAACAAGGTGTGATAACTTGCAAAACAAACTGTAACAAATTAGAAGTATCGTGGTATGTTAATTTGTTATACATAAATTTTTACTTCATTAGAAACATTTTGTTTATTTACTTATTTCAAACAACTGTCCAACCAAATTTGCAAAAATAAACATCTTAAATATAATATCAACAATTTTAAACAAATTTGTGAATGTACCTGGCAACCATTTCTTTTTCTCTGTGTGAAGCACTTCCAAAGCGACTTGACTGCAGTGAGCTTGGACTGGACACAAAGTAACAGCAATAGGCCTCAAAATACCTCTCAATCAATGGAAGTACAACCTACGCATTCAATGAGATTTCATAAAAAATAGAATAATAACAAGACAACAGTAGTTTCTTATGGTAATGATGAAAAGATGATGTTGATAATATTTATGGCAATGACATGATGATCATGATGATAAAGATGACTGTGGTAGTAGCCTGTGGTGACCAGGGTCAAAGAGTATAAATAGAACAAGAGAACAAAGTCCCATTCGTAAAAACGTCACGCCTGTGCAGGACGCCCACTAACGGTTGTATGTTCTTTTTATTACCCAGTGCAGCGCTGCGCAGCGCGGTAGAAGTGCGCCCGCTATAAACTCAGTAAGCAGAAAACAAAGGTACAGTATCTTGTGGAGAACAGATAAACAGACAAACTGACCGTGCGCGGTGGAGTACTGGGTAATAAAAAACATACAAGCGTTAGTTGGCGTCCTACACTAGCTGCGTATGGCGTATCGTTTTTTTACGCTCTCAATGAGCGTTGTTGGCTCTCTTGTTCTATTTATACTCTTTGCTAGGGTGATATAAAAGAAATATTAAGGTAAGGTATGTATTTGATTTAATCTTACCCTGACAAAGAACTTGTAACTTCTTTCTTCCATTTCTCTTTTCTTAAAACCTGTCAAACATGTTAACAAGAGATATATCAATGAATGACTGATATCTTGACATCATATCATAATCACATAAATAAAATCAATGATAATGAAGATGATGATAATACTGGTAATCATGAACTTATTAATGATAGCATTGGTAATAATAATAATAATAGCACCACACAACAATATATTAGCTCTCACCTGGTCTGAGGTTTGCCTGAGCCTTGTCAACATAGTGTATCAACTTTTCCAGCAGATTGTATGCAAAGCGTTTTTCAATCGTATTGTTGACATGAGACATCCTGTCCTGGGCATCACTGCTTCCATTCCTAAATCAAAGTACAATATAATCATTTTAATGCACCCAGAAGACACTACTGATTTCTCTGTAGTTTTCAGACATCTGATTTGATAAACGATCTTGCTCTGGTTGTCCTCAACCTAGGAACTTTTAAAAAGCAAGACAAAGCATATAGTATCACCTATCTACATATATCAGTAACATGTCCTCAAAAATACACAACAATCTTCTAATTCTAAAGTATTTCACAAATAATTACCTAAATTTAAATAACTACTTTTAGTTAGGAAATGCAGATGGAAAACAATTGTGTTTAACAATAAATTTTTCAACAGTGCAAATGTATTCTAAAATAATGAGGTTTTCACCACACAGTTTTCACTTCTAGAATGATGTACAGTCTCAAAGGCATGATTTTTGTTTTGCATGTCATAAAATCAATTTAGAGTCAATCTTTAGAATCTCAACAAAAATCAGATGGCTTGTGCAGAGACACCAGTGGCGTATCTAGGTACTAGGATTATTGAAATGGGGAGACTGATGGGGCACAAAGGTGAGGGGGGGCCTTGATGATTAAGTCTGGGGGAACTAGCTCTCAAAATAAGGTGAAATGAGGTGATTTTTAACTATTTGAGCATGATTTTTTTTTTTTTGCTTCAAAAATTTTGTGGGATGTGGGAGACAACTACTATAGGGGGACACAAGCACTTTGGAGGCATGCCACCCCCCCCCCTCCATGCACCTCTAGATACACCACTGAGTGACACAATATTCAATAACACATTCACTGGGAAGTTACAGATGTTATCAAATATTTTGTAAGTGAAAAGAAAATCTTCAGTTTCTGGTTAGAATGACTGAAAAAATACTTTTTAGTAAACATGTGTAAACTAACAAAAAACATGAGGTGATACCTTTCAGGTAATTTGTGATCTAAGAATTTAAATTAGAATTAATAAATACAAGACAACATAGTTTATCACTATTAAACTTGCAACACATACATATAATCAACAAAGGGAAAAATAATAAAATATAATACTTTCAAAACTAAATAAAAATCATTATAACATTTATATGAACAAATTTTAAAGTGGGAAATGTGTAAAAATGTAGTAAGCAGTAGGCCCTAGTAAAGGTACTCCAAGTAGTGTAGCAGTGGTGATAGTTAGTAGTAGTGTAAGAAGGAGCAGTAGTGGTGAAAGTAAAACAGTAGTAGTAATAGTAGTAACAGTAGTAGTAATAATAGTATAGTAGGTATTATATTAAGAGTAGTCAAAATATAAACTGTTTAAGTCCCTGATTATGCTAATGAGAATGTAATATTAAAGTGAGTGCAATTATAAGCACAAAACATCATTGTTACAACTGCAAAGCGCTACACAGCCAAGGCAATATAAAATTCACTATCTAACTATGCATTGTGTTTACCTCTCATCTTCATTTGATGTGTCGCTGCAGTTGGTGAAAAAACATTTAAAAAAATTAATATTTAAACAAAATTTCCATCTTATCTTCATATTAGAGATCAATAACTGCAACATGATAAATCGCAATTGCATCATTAAAAAACATCAGTGATATTTCAAATAATCAAAACTGCGGATTTTGGGAAAGTACCTTTGTAATCGATATCCATTGACTTGAAGGAATTTTAAGAGGGCTTGTGTCATCTGTCGATCTTTCTTCTTCTCCGCATCCGTAAGAATGTCATACGGCACCAAAAGGGGATGGCAATCTCCACCTGGAACGATTGTTATCAAATTAAGGAAACAGTCTATGGAAATTAGGGCACCACACGACCAACCGTGACCGTGGATATGAGCTACCGGCAGTGGAGGAGGCGTTGTCACATGATCATTCAAATTCACGCCTGAATGATGAACAAGAAGTTGCAACGAAATAGATAGCAACAAAAGCATCATCCAAATCATATAATCATCATCACCATCACCATCATCATCATCTAACTTCAATCTGACTGATGCTATATATTTATATAAACAGTATATATTACCAGAAGCTTCAAGTGTCGTCTTTGTCTTCTTGGCCCACAGGTCATGAGCATTCTCAGCAAGTCTCTCCGCCATATTCTACAAAATGAAAAGGTGATAATAGAGGTAAATACACAAAAGTCACCGAGATCAATTTTTTATTAACAAATCATTTTCATATTCATTCATTTGAGATCAATTCAAAAGCAGACAGTGAGTGTACTATATTATTTAATTTAAACGTGAGTCGAATGGTCAAGCGGTTAAGGTAGGTGTGCTGCAACCTACAACCATAATATTCGTGCTGATTTGAACGGCAGGCTCGCCTATAATGGTTCTGAAGGTGGAACAAGTCTTCTCAGTTAAGGACTATGAACCGTAGGCCCAGTGTACACAATTGGCTCATGTACCCAGTACATTTCAAGATGAGTAGGGCTTACCCAGGTGTACTGGTCCCTACAGCTCTAGTTGTGGACAGGCAAGAGTAGCTGAAACCAGTTTACTGGGTAGCTCAGACACAAAGAGACCCTTAGGGGAGAAGAAAGATACTGTACGAGCTAGTCCATGTTTCAAGCACTTTGAGACTGGTGTAAAGCAAATGTAACTCAAACTATTAGTATTATTATTATTATTATTATTATTATTATTATTATTATTATTATTAATCATTCTATGAATGAAAAGAACTTGGCATATATTGTTCATCAAGAAAATTTAGAAATTTATCAATATTACCTGCATATCTCTTGTTAGGGTGATGTTGCTCATGTCAATTGGGCGTGGGTTATACCCATGTGGTGACTCCACTACTCCCTAGGATAAAAACAATTACAAATCTTTATAATAATTGTTATAATTTAACAGGCCAACAATATGATCTATACAATGCATGCAATTTAAAGACCAAAATACTACGATATTATTGTTTTTTACGGAATTTTAAACGTTATACAATACCAGGCTAGTCTTGGAAAGTCTTCTTCGTAGTTGTTTGTTCTGGTCTGAGCTGCTACGTTCTATCGTCCAACCCCAAGCATGAATGGCTTTAAGACTCTCTTTGATGGCGTCCCTATACTGATCTTTTTCCTGGAAGTATAAAAGAATTCAACCAATAAAAACACTCTTCAAATGGATGTTTATACATGTATGTTAAATATAAAATAAACCATTGATGTCTGGAATTTAATTGGTATTTGCTCCACTCAAACTTATATTTATTTATAAGGGAACTACCTTTGTAGTGAGATTGCGGTATGGTCGCAGCATGGCGTGATGTTGCATCATAGGATTGGTAACTTCATCAAAAGTCCATCCATGCTCAAACTATATATCAAGTACAAAAAAAAACGAATAACTAAATTAAATTTCATTTTCTATCAGAATGAAAAATCATATGCTAAAAATTTTATAAAGAAAATGAAGAGGTAGACTGGAGAGAAGATGGAGTTTAATGAAATCATAGCATATCATGGTGAAAGCGCCATGACCACTGAATGGTGGACACCGGCACTATAGAAGTCTCAAGAATTATTATTGTTATATAGAAATAATATTTATTTAACATGAGTAGCAAAAGCAGATACAGCAGGTGGAAAGCATACAAATACCAATGTTCACTCCAATCAGAACACCCTTAAACAATAATAGAACCATCCATCAATTGTGCAAAAAACTATGTTAATGTCCTCATTCTGTTTTCGCCATTAGGCAGCAAAATATACATTGGAAGGAACACTGGCTTTTGTTTGGATTATTCAGGTAAATATTCACAAAATAAACTTATATATTGGCTGTAACATACCTTTTCTAGGGACCAAGTGTCGTGTAGAAACTCTGCAAATCGATCTCGGAAGGATAATAGATTTTCATTCAAATGGATTCTGGAAGATAAGAAATAAAAGCAATGATGATAATCCTCACCATTCTGAGACCGATGATAGTGACGTTAATTTAAATTGAATAACTGAATAACCTACTTAGACGTGTCCACGGGGCATGGTTGATAAACGCCATCAGCATCAATGTTTGATTCTCGTATGAGGCTCTCGTCGTGGTAGGCCATAGAATAATCGGGTGGAAGAGCTCTACCAATGGCAGTCAGACACGGGAGGGCCTTGTTGAACAACTCCGCATCATACTCCTTGTGGATAAAAATAAAGAAAACTTGATATAGTGGGCAGGGATTCTCATATAAGTTCTACATATTATTCAATGTAAAAAATTGATATGATTAGCATTTTACAATTAAATAATTCCATATTTAAATTATAATTTTTTATTACTAAAAATAGTTTATTGAAATAGTTTGTTGCCATTTAAATTTAAACAAGGTTCTTTGATTTCCAACTTTGATATGTAGCAAAGTTGATATGCACAAGGTAACAAGTTCTTAATACATTCTTAATACACAATCCTTACCCTATCAGCTAGAGCATCAAAGAGTCCTGTGAACAGCATCATCGTTAGGCGTTTTTCCTCATCGTTAGCTGCACCATAACTGCCCCAGCCTCCATGACTGCCGTAGTAGTCAATGCACCTCTCATAATGTAAGGTCAGGATCTATAACATGAAACAAAAACACAAATATCTCAAGACATTTTCAGTACTCCTCATTAAAAAAAAAAATAAAAATGTAATAGATTGGTGTTGGGGATGATAAACACGTTAGAATGACACTTCTAATATTTTCAAGGGGTGTCCCCATATGAGATTCAGTTACAGCATAACATGTTCATGTAATATAGTCACGCATTTCAATAAAGGTCTTGCAGACAAGACTACTTATATCATTAGTCTAAGATATTATTCAGTCTACATGTTGCATCATAGCTAATCATACAGGTGGAAAACTCAGAAAGTTTGCAAAAAAAAACAACTCAGAAGTATTTATGCAGGATTCAAAGTATCCTAGACAGCAATTTGAAGCCATTATTTCAACCTTACCTTCAGAGCTACATAAGTATGTTCAACTAATACAGGGACATCTACAGTAAGTTTCTTCAGTAGACGCTGCATCATGGATGGTCGCAGACTCCTAAGGAAAAGTATCAAAAGCACCTTCAAAAACAAATTCTCATTTACATATAAACATCAGCTAATGTTTATTACTGAATAATTTTTGACAATCTGAAGCAATTTAACTACCAATATTGTCCCACATATTCACATCATCAAATAAATGCGGGCTAAAAAAGATAATTTCATTACCACATAAGACTGCAAGTTTAAGTCAATTTATGTCCTACAATATATAAAATAGTTTTACTTACTTGGTCAGTGCCACAAGAAAATCAGCAATAGTATCTCGCTGGCCTTTTGTAAGTGACCGACATTTGGACAGACGATAGACAGTATTGAGTGTAGAATCCAGTAGGGAGATGTTATGGCCAGCATTCTCAAACATGTGAGCGTGGCGCGTGAGTAACGGTAGCACCGAATTGCATAGATATCGATTCAAGGCAAGAGCCATGTCATGGTCATGGGTATTAGGCTGAAAATATGAATGAAAAAGAAATTGAGGGTGAAACTTGTAATTTTCAAGATAAGGCATGTAGTCACTTATGTATCTTATTTAATACGTCTGGTGATCCCTGCAACATTGATAATCCCTTCCCAGACTATCAAATCGTATTTTGACAAAAACATGTGACAAGCCTAAATATTGTCATTATGACATCACATCACGACCATATATAGGCAGGCACATCATATCTATATTTGGTCATATACAACAAATTACACAAATCAATTGTGATGTTGGTAGTCTATGAGTGAGATACTTACCTGGATAACCGACTAATTGCCATTGTTCCCAAAACGAAACACCCCTTCGAAAAAAAATGGAACAGGCCGACCCAAGGAACCGTCTCCCTAACAAACGTCCTCATTCCCTTTTCGACGTTGTTCGAAGTCGGATCGTCTAGCCTTCGGAAAACTAGCAGGACTTTTCAAGTAATTCTGTTCTCCTTTGATTTATTTTTGCCTTTGATTTATTTTCAACTAGTGGTTGACAAGATATCCTTTTATTTTTATTGTAGTCTCGATCGGTTTCCATGTCCGCTCGCAAGTCTTTATGCTCGGTGTGTGGGGGCCCCAAACCGAGTGTTAAGCTCGACCGGCACTCGGAGTGCCCGTTGTGTCGCTCGTGCAGCAAGGCTGAGCCTTGGGAGTTTTGTGCGCGCTGGCCCCCGACTAAGATTGCGGCGGCTCTGGACTGGATAACCTATTCAGAGCTTGATTCTACTATTGTTAGCTCAGACAGCAACCTACTATATAGTACTGCAAAATTCTTCTTTTTTTTATGCTAATGAATATTCTACTACAGTATAATCACAAAAGAAAAAATCCATATATGAACACATGTCATCCACTTCTAATTTCAAGGTGATAATAATTCAATTAATTAATGTTATATATTTTGTTTGTTGTCTTACCGTGTCCATAGCCATAGCAGCTCTTAAGTCTGGTAGGAAGCCTACTTCTAGTAGTCTAAAGAACATCTCCTGATCACTGATTCCGTACACTCGTTCCATGAACAGCAACATCGCTTCCTTGTGGCTGGGTGTTAATCCCTTTAAGTCTGCTCCCAGTGGCTTCCCTAGTGTGTCTGAAAAAAAAAAGTTCATTATATTTATTAAAATTACATGTGAAAAAGTATCCTCACAGGATTTGAACCCAGAGCTCTGGGATTTGAAGGCAAGCAACCACAAAGCATCAGCTCTATTCATAATGATTATATCACCGTAGGAGCGGTTTGGCGTGCCAGCTGCAGTTTTGCTTCTCAATCTTGAGTTCGAAGGTTCAATCCTTCTCTGTGTATTTCGTTTGCGTCCTATAGGCAAGGCACTTTACCTATGGTTGTCTCTTTCCACCCAGGAGTACATGTGGTAGGTTCAAACACAAAAATGCACTGATTACAGCTGCAATATTATGGAATTCTCCCAAGGGACCTGAGTATGTGTTCCATATGTGCTTGATCCAGTGACCGGGGGGTAATAATTATAAGCGCATAGAGGTCTCTACAATATACGCTATAAAAAAGTCAACAATTATTAATATTATTATTGTTGTAAAAATTGTACATATCTCAATGCAGTCCAACATGACAGTCAGCAAGGAGATATACATTATACAGTAGATGCTGAGTCATGTCCAATCACAAGCTAAAGAGCTCAGGATGATTATATTTTCTACATGTAAACGATGATTGAAGGCAACGTGTTGCTATGAAATGGATGGTTTTATTTTCTTCAGAAGGGTGTTTAGTTAAAGGAATAATTGCAATATTCAATTTATCCAGTAAGTATTCTTGAAATTCATAATCTCAACCTTACCATCTTTTTTCTCGTAGACTTTACTTGGTGACGGCAAGTTGAACTTTAATGAAAGTACGCCTTCAAGATCATCAAGGGCCACCAAACTTCTAAGAATGGCTCTCATTCTCTGCGATTCAGATTTTCCATGACTGAGAACTTGTTTATCCGGTGCACATCTACCAAGTAAGTCGATTAATACAGCATAAAACGTCAGTATTGCTCCACCCATGTCAACATCATCTTCGTCTTCAGGTCTAATTTGAACAGAATATGAAATATGAAAAACACATTTTTATTCAAACAATCAAATGTACAAAAGAGAGTTAAAATTCCAGGTAAAATGTGGATTACAAACAATGCCATAATATAAGCAGAAAAATAATTTTAATTACAGATTCTCCACAATAATACAAAAACAAAACCTACACTGGCTCTTCTCCCCCTTCAGTGATAATCTTTGGTAGGCTCTGCATTCCAGGTGGGAATCCCTCTTCAGCACTTTCAGACATCTCAATTGCATCTTTCATAGCTGCCAGCAGCCCTTTGCCTTCACTTCTCAGTGCTGGACCAAGACATTCAGGGTGACGAATAAGTAGGCGTACAACTAAATTAGCATTCTCCTCCACAGTCTCACCTTAAATTAGAATAGAAACAATTTAATTTTCCTTCATGTAACAGTAAGGCAACATATGGTGTCAGTCCCATCAAAAAATGCTTACTATTTCTAGTATTTTTCTTTTTTTTCTTTTGGTGTGAATCACACCAGGCAAAACACACTAAATCTGAAGACTTGCTTCCAGTGGGATCTTTCTGTTGGTGAATACATCAGGCTGAGACAATCCCCTACTCTATTCGAAAATAGTACTGCATTCTTTAAGGTAAACGCTGGTCCAATGAAGGTGCGCTATCGTAATTTGTAATTCAGTCCTCCAGCTGAAACACAAGAACAGTGATGGGAATTGAACAGGGGACCTAGACATCTCCACGGTTCAGCCCACGAACAGTGGCTACCACCAGTTTTAGCTGGCTGAGCTAAGCTGCCTTGTGGAAAAGAAGTCAATTATTTCATCGAAGAATACAGCTTTGAAAAATTATTGTGATGTGCCATTCCTAGGCATCTAGAGGTGCTTATAAGTCTGTCAACCTCTGCCCAACCATGGCGAGTCTGAGGTGGGTGAGACGCTTTATTATTTAAATTTTATTCCTGTGCCAAATAATCAAACTAAATAAAAAATCTTACCATTCACCCACACAGCATGCTTCATGAAATCAAGGTAACGTTCTCCATCGAGCGGGTCCCATCCAATATTCTCCTTTCCGAGTGACATCATCCTAGCATTATTCTTCATGCCACATTTTGACAGATATTTGATCACTTTCTCTAAATGCTGCCCTCGCAAGGCCAGAGCAAGTTCATTGTTATCCATCAATGATGCGGCAGCAACATCCAAAGGACATGATCCTCTCAGAGAGGGTAAAGCTGAGTGGAGTAAAAAAAAAATATAATAAAAGTTATATTTCTGAGTACAGCTGAGTACTGAGTACAGCAATCTTCACATTATTTATTAAAATTTCTATAATCATTATTAACAAAGGTTGGACGTTAGACCTAATTTTTTTTAGAGTTAAATTTAACATATACGACCGAGCTTTTGTGGTTTGTAAGATTTGTCTGAAGATTTATGATTGCTTCGATCATGTATGTATTCACTACAATTGTTTCAACACTAAAATTGAGAATTCCACTTTAGAAAAGCTTTGGATTATTTTTTAATTATTTAAATAAGTAAAAAAATAATTGAACAGAAATCTACTCTGCATTCATACAATAAGCAGTGAGAAATAATACTACAATTTTACAAAAATACATTTGCAGCCAGAAAACAATACAGTGTAATCATTTCAACTGGTTAATTATCAATTTATAGCAGAGTAATATATATCAGTTAAACAGGTATAAAAAAGACATATTTTGTGGCATACAGAGGCTTATACCATATCTTTAAGTTTTATATATATTATTTATATTATATAGATAAATGTATATAAATAATAATGGTTTGTATAGCAATGGTTAACAAACGTGAAACAAAAATACTGTTATTGTGCAGTCATGTTTAATTGCTAGCAGCGTATCCAAATGCGACTTAGTGTATAAGCTCCCCCTTTTTGAGCACCGCTTTCTTTGAGTACCCCCCTTCTTTGAGCATCCCCTATTTCCAGCACTAACTTACACCAGTATCCTCTTTCAATTCAAAAGGTCTCAAGAACCCCTCCTTTAATCAGCAAGCCTCCAGCACTCAATATATGTGCAAGTTCCCTGTAGGTCACACCCAAAAATTAAAATTGAAAAATAGTTCAGATTTTGGAGCAAATGATCGGTAATCAGAGGGGCTTAGGTTCAAATCCTGATAGATACATATTTCTTCAAAGTTATTAATCACCTTAAAAAAAGAATCATATTATCAACACCAACACTAGATACTCTCTTAATTTTTCCCGTTTCCGCAAAAATTACAAATTTATGAATAAAATTTGATTCTTTGTGGAGTGTTTGATATATACTTACACAGGCCCATGTAACTGTGAGAAAGTAGGTAGCCTAGGTTATCAAACATGGACTTCTGGTTCTGTGTGCTAGTACGACAAAAATAGCAGAGAAATCTACAACACCCAGCAGTCAGATCACGACAAAAACCAACCTAGAACAAACACATCAAACGCATGCAAACAAATCACAAATAAATTTACTTAGAATGCTCATGCTGTACGAGTAAAATATTTCTTATTATTTATCAGCACGGCCGTTCCAAGGCAAAACAACGTAACTTAACAAAAATATTTGTTTAATTTTTATATTACACTGTTTTGTCATGGGACAGCCGGGCACATTATGCCTGGTTTCTTCAAAATCGCTACTGTTTCTACAGTCCCCGACACAATCAAGAAGGCTCCCCGATTCAACTGACCAATCAGCATCACCAAAAGCTTTTGACAATAGTGTGTAGTGATTGTATGGAAACCAAGCTTTATATATAATCCCATTATTAATATATATGATTGTTATTTAAACAATAAAAGTAATGTTGTAACAGTATTTCAAATTGTTTCATCAATTTTGATAAATTATCACTATACAAATTTTGTTTTGAGGTATTAAATAACAATTTCTCTCAGAAAAAGTTTAGTTTTTTTGGAGGAGTCAGAATCTCATTTGTATAATTTATTATTTCACCTGCATCTGAATATCAGTAACGTAAATGTTGCTTTTGTGCTAATGTTATTTTTTGCTAATTTAAACTGTTATTAAACAATGATATTGCAACAACAAATATATATTAATCAAAACAAGTAGTGTTTAGAAAACAGAATATGAATAAAATTTAAAGCAACAAAAACATTTATTACATCTGAAAAGATTTATTCTAAGAAAACATAAAAGTAACATTTCTACATGTTGCATCATAATATCATCTTGCATTCATCCATTAACTAATTAAAAATGGAAACATCCTGGTTTTACTTATCAGGTCTGAGATAGATAAGGCAAGGTCTTCCAGTGAAAAGCAGTGCTATTCTTTTAACACTTACTCCCATTGGATTAACTGAAGGCCAATTCCTGTAACTGGATATTTATAACTCCAATAGCGTGCATTTCTGAGGCTGTCTGTCTGTGTCCTTCCATTCGCATAACTCAAAAACAACTAAACCAATTTACTTCAAATTTTCGCACATTGACAATGTTACATGTCCCACTGTCTTCCTCAAATTTGTTGCTGATTGGAAGCAAGATTTTAGAATGTCATTTATATATTTTCTGTAACAGGGTGAGGGTAGATTATCTCAGATTATCTTGTTTATATTGCAAGACTTATGATATGAACATACAGAAATGCAACTTTTAATATGTAAACAAATTAATCAAACAAATCTGCTGGAAAAACGCTAAAATTTTAGTAGAAAAAAAATCGTTTGAAATTAAATCACACGCTACGGGGAGTAGTATGAACAATGTGAGTGCACTCAGGTTGTTGGCTGCTACCACTTACATAGTCCAATATAACTGATGTCAAGAAGATAGTCTAGGCCCCCAAAGAGAGCCATCTGACAATCCATTGCTATGCGGCAGAAGTAGCTAAGGAACCTGGAGCAGGCAGCTATAACCTCATGGTTAAAATTCATGTCCTTCTTGAAAAAATCATGTAATCATTTATATATTTTATTTTTTTATTTTGTATTATATTTTAAACTAGTAGAAATTATATGCTTTCATTTTACATATATATTTTAGATTTTTTATACATATATTATATATCTTTTAGATATATTACATTTTTAATTAGAAGC